TAGCTAATAATTACTTGTTGGGTGCCATCGAGTCACAGATACCACACTAAATTAAAAATTAAAAATTCATCTTCTCAGGACACTTACTCTTTGTGCTGGAATTGGAACCTATTCAATAGCTGGACCTTCTTCACGTTTTCAAGGTTGTAAATTATTCCCGAGATGGTCCATCATAAAACTAAAAATAATTTGAGTTCTGTAACTTTGAATTTTTTCTCATATTTATAGTTATCATTTTTCCTACAACAAAGTTTATTGGTTTTCAGTGTTGCACTGTGGTGTATACCATCCATTCGGAACTGAGCCAAGCCGACACTCCAGCAGGTTTTCAGGGTAAATCTCAGAGATTGCCTATCTTTCCCCCCTAGAGCAGCTGATAGATTTAAACTGCCTGCATTTGAGATGGCAGTGCAATTCTTTTTGGGGGTTGGTGTTTGGGGTTTTTTTTGGTGGGTGTTTTTTTTTAATTTTATTGTAATGAAAGTTTACAGAGACTTTGAATTTCCATTCATTGTTGCACACTTTCCTCCCTGCCCATCCCTCCCCCCTGTTCACTTTTCTCTTTGAAAAGTAAAACATAAATAAATAATTTCATTGTTATACAATCCTACCCCTCCACTCCACTACGCAGTTTTTTCTGGACTCCTGTCATGACAATAATATCTAATCATATATTCATCCTAAATAGGCCTCTCCCTCATCTGTTTCAATGTAGTAAACATTATTTATCACCTCTTAGTTTCCCCCAACCCCTATTTCAGTCCTGCTTTACAACAGTGGCACTATGCAGTATTTATTCTTTTGTGACTGTGATATTTCACTCAGCAAGCATAATGTCCTCCAGGGTCACCCATTTTGTATACTATTCCATTAGTTCCTTGTTTTTCAATGCAGCATAGTATTCCACTGTGTGAATATACCACAGCTTCTTTATCTATTTGTTTGTTGATGGACACTTGGGATGTTTCCAACTCTTTGCTACTGTGAACAAAGCTGCAATAAACATGGATGTGCATATATCTCCTTGGATGACAGTTATGGTCTCTTCGGGGTATATTCCCAGTAGTGGAATTGCTGGGTCAAATGGTATCTCTATTTGCAACTTTTTGAGAAAGCGCCATACTGCTTTCCACAGGGAGAATTAGCTATATTTTAAGCAGAGAGAAAAAAAGAGTTTTGATTAAAAAGCACCATTTTCCATTTAGAAAGATCTTTGTTGCAAGAAAGACATGCCATCAGCAATGCAGAGAAGGACATTGGCAAAAAAGTATGACAGAGGCTTGGAGGAAGATTTAAAACTGAAATAGCAAAGGAATAATGGATTGGGATAAAGGGAACTGAAATAGCAAAGGAATAATGGATTGGGATAAAGGGTTTGATTGAACAGTATCTGGATACTTCCACAAATTTACACATTCCCCCTGTTTTAATTTAGCTTTTACTTTTGACTGTCAGTTCTCAGAAATGGACAGAATCTTCTAAACAGAGAGAAAATATATCTACTGAGCTGATTGTGAATCACCAGGAAACACAGATCTCAAGACAGCCTTCTCGGCTGGGTGATGGGATGGAGGAATCATGGCATTTTTACCACTATTACAGAGTTTTATCGTTGGAATTGTTATTTGTCATTGAGTAACTGGGGACTCAGCTCTGAAGCGTGCCCTATTCTGATCC